CCAGCAATTCGTCGTGGCATAGCTCATAATCAACCGTCCAATTTGGGACAATCTGACCCACTCCTCTTGCAGTGCCAATTCTTGCAGTGTTGTCGGTTAACGTTGACGTCGACGAACACGACTCTCGATCATGTCCCAGACATGCTCTATAGGGGAAAGGCCAGGCTCATGGCTGGCCAAGGCATATGGACAATATGGTGACGCTGGAGGTAGTCATTCACGACACGGGCGCGGTGGGCACTGGTTTTATCATCTTGAAAGATGAAACGTGGTCCTGCACGTTGAGCAAAGGGCAGAACTATCGGTGCCAAGATGTGGTCACGGTAGTGCACACCAGTGACCCTTCCTTGAACAATATGCAAGTCCGTTCTGCCAGTCATGGTGATTCCTGTCCACACCATAACAGACCCACGCCCGAATCTGTCATGCTGTCTGACGATAACGTAAGCATGACGCTCATTTACACGCCTCCAAACGCGAGCACCCCTATCGGTGAAATCCAGAGTAAATCTGGACTCATCTGAGAACATTACGTCCATCGACGATTAGCCTAATTTCTACGCTCCCTACACCATTGACGCCTGTTTGCCATGTGCTGGCAAGTTAATGGAGGCATAACACGCGGTCGTCGCGCATGCAAATGGGCTGCATGTAGCTCGTATTCCTGTACAGAAAGCTGATTGGCTGTTTGTCCTCGATTTCGCAGGACCTGTGTACGAATGTATCGATCCTGGGCTTGTGTAGTGGCTCTAAGACGACCTGAACGAGGTCTATCATCAACATTAAGCATGTTGCTCGCTGTGTAAAACCCATTTGAAGCATGCTATAAATAGCACGTAGACGTGTATGGCTCTATTGCGTGTCGCACGTGCAGCTCAAAATGTCTAAAAGGCCCTGATTTTCATTGCTAATATAACTTAGATGGGATCTACAAGTTTATCAGGTTTAGAAATAGCCCCACAGAAAATTGAAAATCTGTAAAACTGAGTTAATAACGTACAAAATGTTCAAAACAGGGGTTGGCTCAATTTTGCTACTGTTTTACCCAGAACAAGCATTTTTTTCTTCTTTGTAACATTAAATTCTTGCATTTCCTTCACGTAGAAAGCAATATTCCAGTCTTTCTAGCCATTTTTAACTCCGCCATTTCCTTAAGAGAGGCTATAAATGTCCCGACCTTTTTTATTAATGTGTTTTGAGAGATTTAATTGCACCTGTGTTGACAATTAAATGATAGTAATTGGAATTTGTGGTTGAATTACAGCTAGGAATGTTGTTTTTCACTAATAAATAGCTATTTTGTACATTTCAAAGATTTCTAAGCTGTTTTGTTTAAAGTCAAACTTAGAACTCAGAGACATGTCAGGCCAATGAGACCACACCCTAATATAAAACTGGTGTAGATGTGTAAATGTCAGCTTAATGTCCAATATTTTCTTATCAAAGTCTAGGATTTGTGGTGATTGTTGCATTTATGTTACTTTTTTTATGTTACTTCATCTTGTCAACTCTGTCATAATTACTTTTTGGACTTCATTTTTTCAGGCAATTGATTTAAAGGTCCAGACATCTTGCTTCAGCACAAGAATTGCAATAAAGATTTGTATGGTGCTTCTGAGCCTTGAGATGTTGAAAACATTGAAATTTTCCCAAATTTGTGAAAATTGTGTATTCTGTGACCCTTTTGTTAGAGAGGGGTGGCCATAGACCAAATATGGCATTTTTTTCTTTCACCAAGGCCTATTTTAAACCATAATTCATATTTATTGCACATATTTTAGTTTATATGTACATATGTTCGCCAGGGATGGTAAAACATAGCTATTAGACAGATTGCTTTAATGATGTTACTTCTGCAACCAAAGATTAGATTCATTCAGTCAGTGACATATTTAGGGGGTGGGGATACATGTTTGAGTATAGATCTCTAATATTACAATCAATGCAACTGATTTGTGATTTTTCTGTTTGTATATTGGCCAGGGTTTCTAAATATATATCCCTTTTCTGCCTGGCTATCTAAAAAGTGGAAAATAATTGTTTTTTTTTGAAAGATGCTACATGTAAATTTTGTACATTTTTCATGACATGGCAGTAAAAAATTATATTTTTGAAAAAAAATCCAGCTTATGAGTGTTTTCTGTGTAATTTGTTTGTAACTTGTCTAATTTTTTCACAGAACTCAAATACTGTTTTTAATAAGAGAGATTTTTAAATTTTAGCACGAAAGGCCCATGGACCTGAGATGCACTACTGTACATAAAGCGGCATGTATACTTAAAGGGCAGTCATTTTTGCAGTTATTCTTTGATTTTGATTTCCTTTCACCGGTATGTTACCAGAACATATGGGAAGCATATAAAAAAGACTTTTTGGTGATACCTGAAGTTTCATCCCTATATAGGACACAGCTCACCAAATATTTCTACGCCGTCACCAACGAATGTAGGGCAAAAGTTATTTTTAGTCTTTCTCTCCCTTTCCCTTTTTCCCTCTTTTGCATGGCGATTTTTGTTGACTTTTTGGTGTAGAATCGAAGAAAAGGGGGTTTGAAAATACATTTTCTACCCGGTTTTGGTGAATATTCATGATTTTGAGGCGGAAGGATACAAGAGTTGAGAGGTTGGTTAGGTTGAAATGTAGAGTCCAAAATTGCATGTTTTCTTGTCTCTACTTCCAGCTTGTGTATCTCAAGTATTTCATGGTGAACCTCATACGTGCTTTTGGGCAAATGTTTAGTGATCTTTGGCCATCAACATTAAGCATGTTGCTCGCTGTGTAAAACCCATTTGAAGCATGCCAACAGCACGTAGACGTGTATGGCGCTAAATTGCGGGTCGCACGTGCAGCTCAGTGGTTCTGTTGGGGCGATAAATTCTTCATCTGTGAACATACTCTCAAAGCATGTCAAGTGTCCATGACTATTTATCATATCGCAACCTGCATAGGTATTTGCATTTCAATATCCCCTACTCTTTTTGAGGAGTATATATGATATTGGCGTTTCAACTCTGTATAAACTTCTGTTAAGGCACGAACTGGCTATGATCTAATTAAACATGTAATTAATCCCATATGTCATTTACCAACTTCATATGATCTGTGAACACTCCTTTACTTCAAAGGAATAGGCACTGGTAAGTAAGCATGCCATGACGAGATACAATAGACAATTGCATGTATGACCACGGGCTTATCTATTGTCCGAGGGTATATAATCGGGGGCTTGTTTCGCTAAGATAAAGTTACATATTTACTCGATTAGAATCCGAACTGCTGCTCAGCATTCATTGATAATTAAATTTAAAAAATGGATAATCGAGACTATGTTTTTTTTATCGTACCGACTTTAATACTGATGATCAAGGCTAGGCCCAAAATTCAATCGCTAAATTCTCGGTTCAGAGTGGATCAATTTGACGGAAATTTTCTGCAAATACCCTTTACATTATCTATTTTTACACTATTATAGTGAAAGAAAAAAGGAAAAAAATGTGCTGGGGCGAGACCTTTTTTTGCCCCCCCCCCCCAACATCCCCCGTTGTTTTCCAACACGAGTCATATTTAGATGATTCACTAGCAGATTGCGATAAAGCAAAAACTTTTGTAATACTTATATAAGATTCAAAGGAACAATAAGAAAGACCATGCATAATTGACCATTTCAATTTTGAACCTTGATATTCATGGGCCCCATAGACTCTTATGGGCCCTGGGCATAGCCGTACGGGGAAATGTTTGAATGGGGGGGGGCGGTGGTGGTTGGTGCCCAAAAAATGTAGTTAGGTTCTTAGTATGTTACATAATAATAATAAATTCGCTGTTAAACTGGACACATTCAAGAACGCAATATTATTTTATACAACTTTTACAAAGTACAATTGTGTGCCCAAATTTTCCCAGCATTTGGTGCCCAAAATCGCCCGAGCCCCCCCCCCCCCCCAGCTCGTACGCCTATGCCCCTGGGGCAAGGCAACGGCTGCACCCCACTCAGAGTAGCGACCATTCATAGGTTTTGACATAGCGACCTCCACGGAAACCTTGACATTGAACGAACTTTGAACTGTGCAACTCGATCATCACAGGTAGACATTTTGGCTGGATCGAGGAATCTGCTAGGCTCTCAAGCTAGGTGAATACCCAATCAACATTTAGTGTCGAAACATGCAGGGTATTACGTGAAGGCCTTGATAAGATATACGGAGTTAAAAGTGAGATCAAGTTTTCTATTGAAGTTGGTCTTCATTAGCAAAATGAAAAAATGAAATGGAGTTTAACGCCCTACTGTTCTGCTCCGAACTGGGCTAATGATGACGGGCATACGCCATACAGTGTGCTATGAGGGAAAATTTGCCCGGACAGCGGCACTCCGGCAAATGTGTACACGGGACCTCGGTTTTTCGTCCCAGCAGAACGACTAGACAGCTGTCCTTGTCCTGGATCACTGACAAGGGGAAACCACGCCGGAAAATCTGGATGAACTTTCTCGGCCAATGCAGTGATCTATCGTAACACCCGCCGTTCAGGCTAGCGAGCCAGCGTCTTACCCACCGTGACCACAGTCTTCATTATCCCGGTCTGTGCAGTAAAGTAGGAAGCTAAACCCCATTTCATTTCTAATTTGAAACAGAATATAATAACCCAGATGTTTTCAACCTTTTTTGCCAACGGCACACATTGGAACACATGAAAAAAATAGCGGCACACCTGGCTGAATTTTGCAGAATAAAAACATGGAAAGTCAGACGGCATACAACCGTAAACAGAGATTAGTCATAGACACATAGAAAGACTCAAATTAAATAAAGAAAAACACAGCTATGAACTTATCAGTAGACACCGCTGCAGTGAATATTCAATTGGGATCACGTGTTTTGTTGTTTTTTTCTCATTTTCTTAAGTGTCCCGTTCAAAATTTCGCGGCACACTCAGGAAGACCTCGCGGTACACTGGTTAAGAATCACGGCTATAACCCATGTATTTACATAAGACATAACACGTTTGTAGCATTGTGATAGCATATCATTTATTATCATAAAAGAGAAAAAAAAATCGTAAAAGCAAGGTTTGCCACAAAATTAAATTCGAATTATTGTAATTTACAATTATACAATCAAAGATATAATCTTAATAAAAATTAAGATTAGAATCAAGAACATAGGTCATTAACATGATAAATCTACTATAGTACAACAATTTGAGAAATACTAGTGTTAAAGGGACAATAACACTCTTGCTGGCTTGACAGCTCCAGAAAATAAATAATAGCCTTATTCTAAGTATTAGATGTTTATGTGTCCTACCTGTTGTGTAAATTATCCATTACATCCTATTTTACTTGTCCAGAGGGTTCGAAAATATTTTTTAAATCCAAGTCACATTTGAAAAGGTTTACGTTAGGCCTCTCAAATCATGTACTTGAATATTCCCAATTTTTTAAATTAGGTGTGCTAAGATGAAATTTGTATCATCAAGTAATTGGAAAATTGTAAAATAGTACAATTTGTTGACTAGAATAAAGATTGAGACATATTATTCAGTTACAACAAGAGTGGTATTGAGCCTTTAAAGAATTAGTTGCTAACGAATTTGACAAGGTGATACAGCTAGATTCAATAGGTTACATTGGTAGGAGGGGGTGGTAACTCTGTACTAAAAGCGGGTTTAAAAGGACATCATTCACAGGTGAGCCTTAGTCACGTGCTTTACAAATCAAAATGGAGATGGCGGCCATACTGTTTTTAACTACACGGAACCGTTGTTACGCCATGTTCATCACAATGGACGATGCTGTGGGGTGGGTGGGACTAATGAGACAACTGGATTCAGTAAATGCCGCCAAAAATCCAAAATTATCGGAAATTCGGAGACGGAGTGTAAAGTCTGTATAAATATTCAATAACAGGAATGAATACGTGCTTTCAGAAATCAAAATGGGGATTGCGACCATAATAACTCTTTTTATGGAAGAAAATCTTTGAGCGCATTAAATGTGTCAAACAATCCAGGAAACTGAAATTACTTTCTGATGAAATGTGGTTTGATAATATCTTTCGAAATATCAGAGATACTTGCAAATATTAGATGTTTGTGCTGGCTGAATAAAAACCGTGGGCTTAATCCCGTATCTCCATAAACTAAGATATATTTACAAAATCCTTAGATTGTATTTGTATAGGTAGAATAATGGAAGATCTTCCGTATCAGCTTGAAAAGTTTTTCCATCGTGTTATTGATATAATTTTGGTTAGAACCTCAACAATAATAAAAGAGCTTTATTATGTCTTTGGATGTTATTAAAAATCGTGGGATTATGCTATGCTACTATTGAAATGAGAGAGCTCGCCATTTTGTATAACCCAACACAGTAGTTGCATTTTACGTGGCAATGCAGTCGTGGTTCGTGTGAGGTGCTTGAAGCTGCGCACAGCGGTGTAGTAACGTGGTTGCCTTAGCCCGGAGCATGACAATTATTGACCCCCCCACCCTTAACCCGTGGGTCGCCATGACTCCCTAATGCCAGTCCAGTATCGACCCCCTGCCTCCCAAGTACACGTAAAACTACTGACGTAACCATTCTTTTCGTTTGCAATTTAGAACCCCATAACAATTTTGCGCTAAGGGCAACCACCCCGCTGACCCCGCGCAAGCCTCGTCTCTGTCTGCGCAGTATGGCAATCCAGGCAAAATGCTATCTACTATCATAGCTAACACATCCACTAACTGTCATAAAACATTAAACATCTCTTTAGCGTGCGATACACTTAGAAGTGCTTGGACATGAACTATGCACTTAAATGCACATTACTCATACAATACGAATCATGCAGTTAAAGGCCCATTATTTTTCACAGAATATCGAGATCCATTGCTCCCGGGGTGTGTATTAACGATTTGACCTCTTTAATTTAAGACAGATATAAAATTGTCGATGATGTCTGATTTTGTAAAGATAACGCCAATGTTGAGATACAGCCTATTTTTTTGTTTTACTGTCGACACAGGAAATCAATAATGGAACTAACATTTAATAACTAAGTCGACTTTCGCTTTCTATTTTGAAACAAATATTGCGTGGTTCGGACCTTGTCCCATCACTAATCCAAACAACACATTATATTAACCCAAATCAACATTTTATTTTGACTCAAATCAAGGAGGTTTAGCTGTTTTAAACACATTTTGGGCACCCATACACATTGAATTGGGGGTCTTACACGTGCGCTGTTGTAGATTACAGTGTCTGTCAGGTATGGAAGGTCGTGAGTTCCACCCCGGTATTTAAATACAAAGGATCAGAGACACTTACCGAACCTTCTAGATTTGGTCATGTTTCTACCCTAGCCTTGTACATGACAAAGAGGGGGAGCTATATGCCTAACCGCGTGGGTTGTTTTCAGCCACGCCCCCACTGATAGAAAACAACAAAAATACGCCTAAGCGAATTAATGAAATAGAAATATTTCCCCAATGACCTAGCTTATGTTAAGTGGACGTTAAACCCCATTCTTCCAATCTCTCTATTTTTTCACGTGACATGGGCCTGTGATAAAATTAGCACGCTGGGAAATCAAGACTAAATCATATTTATATACAAACGATATGATATGTTAATAAATACAGTCTAAAACACCTGTAAATGTAATTCTAGACTTTACACCTATATTAAAACGCAATATAAGGTAGGTAAAAAGCAGAAAACACACCTGTAAATGTAATTCTAGACTTTACACCTATATTTAAATGCAATAAGGTAGGTAAAAAGCAGAAAGCACATCTAATTTTTAAAATGTATACACAAAAAAGTGAAAATGTTGATTCATCATCGATGTACGGTTAGTACTAAATGATAAGGCCAGCTCAATTTTTCGTCATTGGTCACGAGATGTAAACAAGTCTAGCACTAATTCCAACGGTAACCCTAAGCCCCAATGCTTACCATAACCCTAACCTACCATCTCGCCAACAATCACGTGCCCTAACCTTATTTACATCTCAACGACCTTGACAAAAATTGAGCTGACTTTAACAAATAGATTTAGCCATCGATGTACGGATGCTGTTTGGTTTTCGGATCGTTTGTCTTCTTATCATCTGGCATCCTGCGATGCAATTGTTAAACCCCTTCTAGTGGGTTACACAAACAGCTTCTGTTTCAAACCATATAATAAATGAAGTTTCGATTCTATTCGTTTCGTTTAAAAGACGTTGTGTTTTTTGTTGTTGTTGAATAATGTCTGCTCTTATCAGTAATAAAACCTCCAACCAACCGTAAAGTCCATACGGAACAAACAGATAAATTAAAAGAGGGAGGAGGGGGGAGGAGGGGGGAGGGGGGGCTACTAGATGCAACGTATTGAAGGGCCTGTGTAAAAATGATACGATTTCACAATCCCTTAAAAGTTAACAAACAAATTTGCGTGAGTGATTAGGGCCTGACGCCTAACTCTTGCCAATATTATAGGCCGCTGTTGTGCGAAATCGTCCAACACTGTTTAGCGCATGCCCTATGTTGAAGTTTGCACGTGCCATATATCTCTTTTACGCCACTTGTCCTGGAGCATTCGATAAAATCAGGCACACAGTTTTCAACATAACAACCTGAAAAAAATAGAAGAAATCGTGGTAAGATAATTTAATCTCTGTATTTAAATGGCTTCACCGGGAATATCATATATATTGACCCCAAGTTTGCTTTGTCAAATGTGGGACGAAAAACCGAGGTCCCGTGAACACATTTACGTGCACGTAAAAATTCCTTGACAGTTGGAATTCGATATAAGAGTAGGCCGTAGTGGCGCTGTCCGGGCAATATTTCCCTCATAGCACACTGTATGGCGTATGCCCGTCTTCATTAGCCCAGTTCGGAGCAGAACAGTAGGACGTTAAACCCCATTTCATTTCACCGCCTGCTATATCACCTACGTGGTAGCAGACGTTAAATAAAGTTATTTCACACACATTAAATATCATTATCTGCGATATCATCCAAGGTGAAAGCGGACGTAAAATGTGATTGTTTGGATAACGATACTTGTCGCAATGTTGGACTTTCAGAATAAAACTGGTGATTGTTTCCCATAAAAATTGTGTTCTGTTAAGATTATTACGGTTTACAATTTGGGTTAAGTTCTTCTTGTCAGATTACCCAACGAAACTTTATTCAACAATGGATTTGGTCATAGGCTTATTAAGTTTACGGGGTTTTATGGTCAAATTACGAAACTATACTCAACAGGAGGTTTTACTGCAGTTCTAATACTGATTTCATGGATGTCAGGAGATTTGCGGAGATTAAACCTTAATCCCCGCATTAAGCCAATCAACCTCTCTTGGGGACTATGAAGATGTGGTGAAATGCTATCTTGAGAAATTGTGCAAGGTTTGTTTAGGCGTAATAGGTTTTCTTTCATCATTAAACCACTGTCAACAAGACACGATGGGAATGAAATGTGATGGGGTTTCACGTCCTGTTTCTCTCATCCGACAGGGCTAATGATGACCGGCATACGCCATACAGTGTGTTATGAGGGAAATATTGCCAAGGCAGCGGCGCTACATCCTAGTCTTATTTCCAAATTCCAACTGTCAAGGGATCTTTTTGCTGCTGTCCGGGCAAAATTTCTCTCATAGCACACTGTATGGCGTATGCCCGGTTTCATTAACCCAGTCGAAGCAGAACAGTAGGACGTTAAACCCCATTTCATTTCATTTACGTTACCGATGAATTGCTCTAAATAGTATACATTGGGTTTTTTTTTTTAAATTTTCTTATAATGTTTGTTTTGATTTTTCGTGACCAGGACAATAGTACAGCACTATATGACGTTAAACCCCATTTCATTAATTTACTTTTTTTTTTCTAAATTATATTGATAACATTTTGAGGGGTTGGTTGGGTTTTTTAATTTTTTTTAATATATCAACTATGCTCACTGTAATGATAAACCGAAACTCTTTCAACAGGATTGACTGCCGATATCAGGGTGAAATTCGCCCTAAAAGTACAGATTTGACGTCATCCTTTGATATTGGCAAACCATTATTTCAAAAAATGATACGGGCAGTGTACCAAGCGTACATTATTTATACTAGTTGCAATATTGGACCCGCGTGACGTATTTCATTGCAAAGCACGTGCGAGTGTCTGTATTTTAAGTTGTTTAATGGTCTCGAGCTTAAGGCGTGGTTTCGAATTCTCAGTTGTACATGACAAGGAGTAAAGTCGCCTGTCAAACCTTGTGGGTTTTCTCCGGGTCCACCGGTTTCCTCCCACTGCTAAAGACCCCTACACGCAAGCGAATTATTGAAATAAAAATTGAACCATCCATATGTCATTCCTGAAATGACCTCTCTCTCTCTCTCTCTCTCTCTCTCTCTGACAAAAACAAAGGTTATTTCGGGACTAACATATGGTTCTCTCTCTCTCTCTCTCTCCGGGTTGGGCAGCCGAGGTTGCTCATATATATGGAAACAACACGAGGGGTATTAGTCCCGAGTTGTTGTTTCAATTACTTAAAGTCTCGCGCTCGACCATTAAACTACACATATAGCACACTACACGACCTTAAACCCATTTTATTTATTAACGTTTATACTGATAATATATTCAGGGTTTGTTGTTTTGGGGTTTTTTTCTAAATATATAAACTTACTGTACTTACTGTAAAGATTAACCGAACCTCTTTCACCAGGATTGTCCGTTATCGAGTCACCTGCAAATAAAAATTCTATATAAACGAGTTGATCAAATAGACCTAATGACTACCTTAACTTGACCAGTGAATAGAGAATTTTACTCCACGTCATTACTGTGTTGTGATTACTTTTACGGAATGATGGTATCATTTCCTGTAACTCTGATTAATTCCAGGAGCGAAGGTTTGCTTGGCTTCCGTACAAAAGTGGTGTTTACATAACTGCGTTTAACGCTGTTTTCGTTTTGACCTTATTAGATTGAGTACACAATTTTACTGATACAATTTGTATGGGGAGATGGGCTTGGGGAATATGATGGAATCACGTTTACTAAAATTACACATTATCGGCTCGCTCACCTACATATATCTCGGTTATAGGTAATGACAGGTGAAATTAGATTCAAACAAAATGGCCGAGTAATCGTAAGATTTCAAATTGAATATATACCATAATTATATAACAATATAATTATATAACAATATAATTACGTCCTTAAAGGCTCAATACCACTCTTGTTGTAACTGAATAATATGTCCCAATCTTTATTCTGGTCAACAAATTGTACTATTTTACAATATTCCAATTAATTGATGATACAAATTTCATCTTAACACGCCTAATTTAAAAAAATTGGAAAAAATCAACTAAATGATTTGAAAAGGCTGACGTAAAGCTTTTCAAATGTAACTTGGATTTAAAAAATATTTTTGAACCCTCTGGACAAGTAAAATAGGATTTAATGGATAATTTACACAACAGGTAGGACACTAACACATGTACTTAGAATAAGGCTATTTTTTATTTTCTGGAGCTGTCAAGCCAGCAAGAGTGTTATTGTCCCTTTAAACAAAGGACCATAAACGCCAGATATCCGAAGAGTCCAGGGGAAGAACGATCTAAGTCGCATTTTTGTCTTTTCGCATAAAAGGCAAAACAAACTATTGGACGAGACTGCTTGACGCGAACAGAACAACGAGTGGGTTTAATTACAACTTCAAAATGATGTTTAATACGAATCATAATTACTAGTATAACAACTGACTTCCACTTTCCAGCCAAATTAAGGTCAAATAAAAGGTAGGATGGACGTATTGGTCCGGGAGGAAATTTCAGAAGGGACTTGGTTTTTGTCGATGTGACTCCGGTCGTTTTTACCTGAAATTGATTGTTCCACAGAAAGCTTATACAATTTGCTACCAGATGGCGCCGATAACTGGGATTCATTGAAAAAGTGACTTAGATCGTTCTTCCCCGGGGTCTTCCTGTAAACTCGCAATTGTGAATGTTGAGCTTATTGTGCAAATATCATTACTTTCTTATTGAAAACACCAATACCCTTGTGCAAAAAAAAATTCATTGCAATACCCTTGTGCAAAAATAATTCATTGCTTCCAGTTTTAATGTGGGGTTGGATAGCCGAACTTTAACGCGTGTACGCTGTATCATAAGTTCTATCATTGAGTCAATTGGTGTGGTTTCGATTCCACGGTTGTACGTGACAAGGAGGAGGGTCGCCTGTCCAACCTCGTGGGTTTTCTCCGGGTCCTCTGGTTCCCTTCCACAGCTAAAGACCCTTGAATTATTGAAATACTTAGACAATGTTTTCTCAAATAAAAAAATAAATACAATAACGTTTATTAATAATTCTATTATGGGCGTCGCAATAACAAAGACAATAATTTTAATGTTCACAAGATTTAAAAACCATGTTTAGAATAAAATACTGTTTAAATAGCATTTATTAATTGAACACAGAGAACTGTTGTATCTAATTTAATGTTTAGAATATCATAAATTAGCGATTTAGCACCCTTTAATGTTTAGAATACTATGAATTAGAGTTGTTAGATAGATAGGATTATTGATAGAGAAATGGCATGAACAGACATAAAGAAGTAATAACTATGTAGTTCATTAACAGGGTACGATTTTCATTTATTGATATTCTAGTTAAAATGGCGGTTTTCAAGGCCGCTAATTAGACTCATATTAAAGGAGCTAAGTCTCTATTCTTTGGAAACTAAAATGAACGTAAAACAAGAGCATATATTAAAGTTGTTATTTCATATTTTTAAGTTATATTTTTAAAATGTATTAAATAAAGCCTTAAAATAGATGGTATCTATAAACAGTCCTACCTTGTTAAAGAATAATCCTATTAATCCTATGATTCACTATTGCCAGTTGAGAAATTGGCAAAAATATCATTTTCAACTTCAAATTCAAACGTTTGAAGATAGCTTTTCCATGGTGGGGGGAATAGAAAAACAAGGGAGCTAATTGTGTTCTTATTTCCGGGGTCAAAGGATTTTTAAGTGGGAGAATAATACCTATGATCGTATAATCGTGATTTGACAACCTATTGAGCAAAAGACATAGAAATAATTATGTTTTGACTTCCTTAGAAAATATGAAATTATCGCTTTAATGTTTTATGAGTGTATATAAACTGATTTACATTCATTTTGTAAAACTGACATTTTGCCTCGTTCATCAAGACACCCCATTACAAATGATGCTCGAGAGTATAGAGTCCACGACGTCGTGTACCCATTTTAAAATTGAAATTGTAGTTTAATTATCATATATCAGGAGCCCCTGACCAATAATTCGGGTTTATAATGTCGGTGGGAGGTTGTACGAATGGTTAGCACGTGCGCGCTCTATCATAAGATCTGTCATTGAGTCAACTGGCGTGGTTTCGATTCCCCGGTTGTACGTGACAAGGAGTCCAACCTCGAGGGTTTTCTTCCACTGCTAAAGACCCCTACGCGCAATCGAATTATTGAAATAAAATTGTACCATTTCTTAGTCCCGAAATGACCTGTTTAAGTCGAGTGGACGTTAAACACCTCTCTCTCTCTCTCTCTTTCTCACTCTCTCTCAGTCTTATAATGTCGAAGACCGTGGATTATATTGAGTTAGAGCTCCACACCCTTTAATATATACCACAGTCTATCATATAGACCAGGTCAATAACTCGAATACACCACAGTAAGATTACTATACCAATTTAATTAAAAGGGATGTTTTTGATAATACCTAACTACAGGTTTAATGAAAGATAACACACAAATCATAATGACAAATGGAATTCTGTGTAGATTAAATTCAATGATTAAAGGGTTTCCGTTGATGGAGGTCTTTTGTTCCGAAAGCTAGGGATTTGATATGGACTGACGCGTTTTCTGTAGTAAACACATTAAAGGTAATGAAATGAAATGGGGTTTAACGTCCTACTGTTCTGCTCCGAACTGGGCTAGTGAAACGGGCATACGCTTTACAGTGTGCTATGAGGGAATTTTGTTATATCGCATTCCAACTACCAAGGTATCTTTTACATGCATGCTATGAGGGAAATTTTGCCCGGGCAGCGACACTTTCGCCTACTCTTATATCGAATTCCAACTGCCAAGGAATCTTTACTTGCATGCCAATGCATACACGCGACCGCGTTTTTTTCGTCCCTTCCGAAATACTAGACAACTGTCCTTGTCAGGACCTCCGTCCTGCACCACTGACAAGTGGAAACCACGTCGAAAAATCCTTATGAACTTTCTCGGCCAATGCAGGGATCGAACACGCGATCTGATCTCCAGGCTAGCGAGCCAGCGTCTTACCCACTTAGCCACTGTGGTCCCCAACTCTAACTCAATACAATCCATAATATTCAAAAGTAAAAATGAGAATTAGAATTGGCTGATTCACAAAACACAGAGACCCCCCACCCCACCCACCCCAAAAAACCCGTTTAGAATGGATTAAGCAGGTTCACATGACTGCCGTTCAATTTGGACTGTTCGCGCGTTTCACCAAACCTAATTGATTAGAAATTACAATAAAATATTTAACAATTGAATGTGAGTCACTTTATATATACTTATATTAAATTAATGTGTGCTTTTAAAACCATTTTCGTCTAGTTTGAGATTTCAAAAGGGGGATCACGAGGCTAAGTGGGTAAGACGCTGGCTCGCTAGCCTGGAGGTCGGGTGTTCGATCCCTGCATTGGCCGAGAAAGTTCATCCAGATTTTCCGGCGTGGTTCCCCCTTGTCAGTGATGCAGGACGGAGGGCCTGACAAGGACACTGTCTAGTCCTTCGGATGATACGAAAAACCGAGGTCCCGTGTATACATTGGAATGCACGTAAAAGATCCCTTGACAGTTGGAATTCGCTATAAGAGTAGGCGATAGTGTCGCTGCCCGGGCAAAATTTCCCTCATAGCACACTTTAGCCCAGCATAGGAGCAGAATAGTAGGACTTTAAACCCCATTTCAATTTCATTTGAGGTTTCAAAAAATAGAGCTATTCGCCCTGTAATAATACACCGCTTAGTCTTGTTCATTAAACATACATTATGCAAGCGCTAACTCTGCCTATTGCAGGCCTTTCTTCTAAATTATTAATAAGACATTAATTAACTTATCCATACCATAATCAACTCTCAATGTCATCGCTGGCCTGATATATTTACTGAATTTGAACTTCAATAGATTTTGTGAAGGATGATTTAACGTCAAAATGGATAATCGAAACTTTGTTTTTTTTATCGTACCGACTTTAGTAGTGATGAAACTATAATAGCGAGAACTGTTGTGACGAATTTAGTAATGATGATCGAGGCTAGGCCTAAAATTTAATCGCTAAATTCAGCATATTCTATTTACATTATCTAGTTTTTAACTATTATAGTGAGAACTGCCAGCTCTTTATCTAATCTCCCATAATGTATCTTTAAATCAAGTTATTTCAGATACAGATCTCATATTAGGGATTGCTGCTATATAATAGGTGCCACATAACGTAATATGAATAGCCTGCAATATTAACTGGGTTAGAACCCGGTCTGCTGCTTCTGATTAAATCAAAAAATGGATAATCGAGACTATGTTTTTTTTATCGTAACGATTTTAGAAATGATGATCGAGGCTAGGCCAAAAATTTCAGCAAATTCCCTTTACATTATCTAGTTTTTAACTATTATAGCGAGAACTGCCAGCTCTTTATCTAATCTCCCATAATGTATCTTTAAAAAAAAAAATTGTAACTATTGTGGTGAGAAGAGAAAAACCTTTCAGCGGCCATTAATCACTGTTGTATATACAGATTACACCAATCATCTATAGGGCTTTTATATAAAACAGAACTTATATAACATCGCTTGAACTATTCTCATTTATTAATTAGACAAGTTAGTGGCAGCTTTAGCAACCAGGGTTTTAAATGGATGCCTTATTAACACAATGGACTCATTTAGAAAGAAAATTGGTTGGGGAAGCAATACAAAGTGCTAATGTAAAGGTATTACTAGTCTACATGTGAAAAATGTGTTTTACGTAAGCATTTCGAGCGTGGGTCACACCCAAATTTCAAATTATAGAAATGGACGAGATTATAGTAAGATGGTCTGCGAACATTACATACGGGTCCAATAAACACAATCTCCTCCCCAACCGACCTGAACTAACTAACTGGATAGATCTCCCAGGCGGCCTGATCTCCTCCCCACCCGACCTGTGCAAATTAACCGGCCTGACCCCCTCCCCCACACACACACCCAAACTGACCTGATCTACCTAACGGGCCTGACCTCCTAAACAACCGGACTAATCTAACTAATCGGCCTGACCGCCAACCCAGCCGATCTGAACTACCTAACCGGCCTGACCTTCCACCCAACCAAACTGAACTACCTAACCGGCCTAACCAACTGGTCTGCTCTATCCAACTGGCCGGATCTACTCCCCAACCATTCTGATGTCCTCCCCAGCCTTTTTGATCTTCACGCCAAGCAATCTGATCTCTACAATCGACCGGTTCTACCCAACCGGACTGATCGCGAACCCGTTCGGCCTGATCTACCCTACCGACCTGATCTCGAACCCGTTCGGCCTGTTCTACCCAACCGGCCTGATCTACTCAACCGGCCTGACAATATACAACGTAAATACTAAACTACATACCTGGTTGTGATATCGTATTAAAATCGCCTACTGATTTTTTGCTCCACCATGCTGCAAATATAAAGAAAAAATAAAAATTCAATAAAATGGCAATTATTATATATTTTTGGGACTTCCAGATATGTACAAAAGTAAATAAATGAAATAAAATGAAATGGGGTTTAACGTCCTACTGTTCTCCCCCGACTGGTCTAATGAAGACGGGCATACGCCATACAGTGTGCTATTAGTGGGAAATTTTGCCCGGGCAGCGGCACTATGGCATACTCTTAAATCGAATTCCAACTGCTATTGTTTGTGTCAGACAGAGAGAGAGAGAGAGAGAGAGAGAGAGAAAGACTCTCTGGGTTCAAAATAAACGAGCGAAGTACAAAATACATTACGAAATAATTTGTTCTTAAGGCAAATTTAACTTTCAAGAAGTGTTTAAAGAAGGATCAATGCCATACATTTTCCAAGTACTCTTGAAGACATGCCAGTGCAAATAAACTCAAAAAAGAGACCACTTATGCTAGATCTGTTTCAAGCTGAGTTTACATTTTACCACCAAAATGAAACTCCAAAAAGTAAATTAATTAGGAAAAGTGCGTATGAAAGTGCGTCCTCGTGAACCCCTTCAAAATGTCCCGAAAGGTTCGGAACTTTGTACATTGTCCCGGATTAAACGATTTTGATTCTCTTCAAGAACAAATCGTCTACTCCAAACAACACAACCTTCCCCGTTGTTTAGCTTCTTGGCGCCATAAACCTATCCAGCCTATTAGGTCAGTGTAAAATCCTATCTCACAGTCGATGTAAAGACATAAGACATCGTGCTGGAAGTAATGTTTGTGTGCGCATTTTGTTTTCTTTTTTAAAAGAGCTACACACAAGAGCTAATATAACGGAATGTGACCAAATATATAATTGTTTGAACTATCTGAAATTGGTCCTTTAAAGACTCATCAGTACCATTTGTCGGTAATAAAATTAATTGCTAATTGGCCGTGGGTGGATTTTACCTTTACGTCAGGCATGTGTTTAAATTATATTGCATCCAAACTTGGAGAGAAATAAAATGTGGTTTAACGTCCTACTGTTCTGCTCCGACTGGTTTATTGAAGACGGGCATACGCCATAGTGTGCTAAGAGAGAAATTTTCGCCCGGGCAGCGGCGCTACAGTCTACTCTTATATCGAATTCTAACTGCCAAGGGATCTTTTACGTGCACGCCAACGTGTACACGAGACTTTGGTTTTTTGTACGATCCGAACGACTAGACAATTGTTCTTGGCAGGCCCTCCGTCCTGCATCACTGACAAGTGGAAACCACGTCGGAACATCCCGATGAACTTTCTCGGCCAATGCAGGGATCGAACACGCGACCTCCAGGCGAGCAAGCCAGCGTCTTACCCACTTAGTCACCGTGGGTCCCCAGACATGGAGAGAGATCCGTCTGTATACTGTCCTATACCTTGTTATTTGTTTTTATTTCCAAAAAAGGGCTTTAACGTCCACTCGACACAAACTATGTCATTTAGGGACTAACACATGGTTCAGTTGAATTCAAACTTCGCTTGCGAGTAGGGATATTTAGGTAGGACACGGCGAAAACGCAGGAGGTTTGACAGGCGACCCCACTCCTTATCACGTTTAACCAGGTATCGAAACCACGTCAGTTGACTCAATGACAGATCTTATGATACAACGCGTACACGTTAACCATTCGGCTATCCAACCCTCCCGAACGGATATGGGGTAGCTTCTGTAAAAGACACCGCCCATTCCGCACACGGAGAGCCGCACACTGATCCGCAGTGAATATTTGCTAGGCCGCTACAATCACTGATAAGGATGACATCGATGCGGCTTAATGAGCCAGTAATATTAACTTTTTTCCTGCGACAAATTAAATTCTAAAACATTTTTTTTATGTATTGGAAAAATAAATAAAGGCGTTTGACGTATTTGTAGGTAAAAATTATTTCCTATTTAGTGTAAATGGGTATTAAAATGACTAAAATGCAGCATTCTCTCCGAAGCAGTAACGTCTTATGTAAACAATGCAGGCGCCATTCAGCCAATGATTGACGCCGCGTGCTGTGACGGCACGTGTCAAGGCAGTCATCTTTGACAGAGATATATTACTAGACTCGTAATTCTCTGTGAAACAGATTGGGAGAGCCGTCTACTTCGTGAACAGACGCGGGGCTGTTTGTCGACAGACACCGATATTGTCACACGATGCTAGTCCGATCATTTCCAGTTCTTCCCACGTGCACTGCATTCTGATTCAAATACAGATCTATATTTCGTTTCGTTTTTTTTATACTTTGGATGTCATCTACTACATGAACATCTGACCGGTTGTAGTGGAAGGTCGCGCCAAGGGTCGCACGAGCGGCTTTTGACCGTATGACGTCAGACATTCGATTTACCAATCAGCGTTGATGTTTCTACTGAGATACCCACTGTTCCGTGCAACTCACTCCAATAACTCGCTATAACAGACCGTTTCAATGGCTAATCCCTCACATGAATCAGAACGCCTGTTATATAACAATTCTTCCAGATCCTAGTGTAGTAAAGACAAGTAAAACAAAATTTTGAACTATAAAAAACGAAACGAAATAGGATCTGTGTATTAATCAGATTGATTATTTCCAGTTCTTCTTATGGATCTTAACGTCCGCTTTCATCTAGGGTGCTAGAGGGAGAGAGAGAGAGAGAGAGAGAGAGAGGATCAAAAGTTCTTGGATGAGTTTCACTTTGGTACGCATGAGACCTTCCATTGTAAAGCTTTGGCCCATGCAATAGAATGTTAGAAAAACTCTTCCCCGTCGTGTTTTGATTAGCCAATCTGTCATAGATACAACGGAAATGAGATGGAATGAAATATTCGACTTCTCAGTAAAGTTAACTTATCGCGACCTTAGCAGAGAGAGAGAAATGGGGTTTAACGTCCACTCGACACAAACTAGGTCATTTCGGGACTAACATATGGTTTAATTTTATTTCAATCATTCGCATGCGCGTAAGGGTCTTTAGCAGTGGGAGGAAACCGGAGGACCCGGAGAAAACCCACGAGGTTGGACAGGCGACCCTACTCCTTGCCACGTACAACCGGGGATTCGAAACCACGCCAGGCGACTCAATGACAGACTGTATGATACAGCGCGCGCACGCTAACCATTCAGCCATTCACCCCCCACCCCCCATCTAGGGTGCAAACGCAGACTGTTTATTTATAACTGGAGTCGTACCCGACATTTTTTTTAATGATGCTTGCCTATAAATTTCACGTTATACTCAATTAACTTTCCACTTTATTTAATATTGCGAACTGGAGGTAAAATTTACGTTTTAAGAATCGCTTCATCAATATTTCTGTCTGATGATATCCATAGAAGTTAATTTGAATCATATTAATGGCTTCGAAGGGTAAAAATCTCTCTGGGTGATTTGGCAAGTCGCTGTGTGTAATTGCTTAAAGCAAGGTTTCAGAGACGAATTCACCCAAGCAACATTAACACCAATCGTGTCGTTAAGGAGTTTGCATGTTAACCAAGTCTTAAATGTATCTTGGTTAACGGTAAGCCAATATTTGGAGGATATGATGCACCATGGACGTAGGCTTAGAGCACTGATAACCACGCCCCCCAATGACAAAACGTGACTATGCATCTTTCTCTGACAACCTACGCTTTACGAGGTTTGTGAAAATTTATCTCAGAAAATTTTAATATTAGTCCCACCACCGTCTTCATTCTAAAGGAAAGTTATATTTTGCGTAGAAAACTTGATAATTTATTGAAATTTTAGACTATGGCGCCACTTTTACGACGTGTCAACGGCGACGCAAGGACGTCGTGTTCACACGTCATACGGATTAGGTTAGTTAGTTATCCATCTAACATTATCTTATATATATATTTGTGACTGTCGTTTGTCTGTCTGTCTGTCTGTTCGGGGTTGGCGGCTACACTAGGTCTGCCCCGAGTCTGAAATTTGGGGTATAGGGGTAGCTCGGACCGGGGAGTAACATAGGCCAGGTGGCGTTAGTCTACCACTTCCGGTTTTGGAGTTATGACCCCCGAGCGAAGCCGGTCTGTTCGGGGTTGGTGGCTACACTAGGTCTGCCCCGAGTCTGAAATTTGGGGTATAGGGGTAGCTCGGACCGGGGAGTAACATAGACCAAGTGGAGTTAGTCTACCACTTCCGGTTTCGGAGTTATGACCCCCGAGCGAAGTCTGTCTGTTCGGGGTTGGCGGCTACATCTGCCCCGAGTCTGAAATTTGGGGTATAGGGGTAGCTCGGACCGGGAAGTAACATAGGTCAGGTGGCGTTAGTCTACCACTTCCGGTTTCGGAGTTATGACCCCCGAGCGAAGCCGGTCTGTTCGGGGTTGGCGGCTACACTACGTCTGCCCCGAGTCTGAAATTTGGGGTATAGAGGTAGCTCGGACCTGGGAGTAACATAGGCCAGGTGGCGTTAGTCTACCACTTCCGGTTTCGGAGTTACGACCCCCGAGCGAAGTCTGTTCGGGGTTGGCGGCTACACTAGGTCTGCCCCGAGTCTGAAATTTGGGGTATAGGGGTAGCTCGGACCGTGGAGTAACATAGGCCAGGTGGCGTTAGTCTACCACTTCCGGTTTCGGAGTTATGACCCCCGAGCGAAGCCGGGTATCCTGCTAGTACATTATAAGAGAGAGAGAGAGATAGAGAAAGAGAGAGGGTGGGGGTTAACGTCCACTCGACACAAACTGACACATGGTTCAATTTTATTGCAACTGGCGTGGTTTTGATTCCCCGGTTGTGCCTGATAAGGAGTAGGGTCACCTGTCCAACCTCGTGGGGTTTCTCCGGTTCCCCGGTTTCCTCTCACTGCTAAAGACCCATACGCGCAAGCGAATTATTGAAATAAAATTGATCCATATGTTAGTTCCGAAATGACCTAGTTTGTGTCGAATAGACTTTACCCCCCCCTCTCTCTCTCTCTCCCTCTCTCTCTCTCTCTCTCTCTCTCTCTCTATCTCTGTATTTATGAAAAATAAATGAAATGGGCTAATGAAGACGGGTATACGCTATACAGTTTGCTATGAGGGACATTTTGCCTGAACAGCGGCGCTACGGCCTACTCTCTATTCTCTCTATCCCTGACAAGGAAAGCTGTCTAGTCGTTCGGATGGGACGAAAAACCGAGGTCCAGTGTACACTTTGGGGTGCACGTAAAAGATCCCTTGGAATTTGATATAAGAGTAGGGCGTAGTGCCGCTGTCCGGGCAAAATTTCCCTCATAGCACACTGTATGGCGTATGCCCGTCTTCATTAGCCCAGGTTAGGAGCAGAACCGTAGGACGTTAAACCCGATTTCAATTCATTTCATTTCTATTTTCTCTCTCTCGCTCATATAGTAAAATATTGGCTATTAACAAATTCGGAATTAATAGAAATTCTCACTTTACATTCCATATTAAACAATAGCCTTAATTAATCAATTAAAATGAACGAGTCATTCCATTGATGATAAACGCCTACACCAGGATATCGTCACGGAGAGTCGTCAACTATTCACGACCTTTCATCTTGTCCATAAATAAATACATATTATCACTTTCACCCTTTGTGAGTCTTTGTTACAAGCGAAACAAGTGATTATGTATCGATTGAAGCAGTTGATGCTGGTTATGGATACAGATTATCACGCAATACGAAGCTAGAGACCACTCTACGTGACACTGCCAATTTACGGTAATAAAATCGTCATTTGATAATCTTGTCCAACAAGGTATTTAAATTGCTCTGCTAATTAAAAAAAAAACACGCTAGGTTTTCTATGCGTATTTAATGATTGTAGGATTATTGAATGGGTAACTAGATATTCCTATTAAAGGGGGCAGTTAACTTACAGCTATATATGAACTAGCAGCATAAAGACTGTTTTTATGGGTTAGGTTTCTTAAAAAGGCCAGGATCACGAGATGTAGACAGGGCTAACGCTAACCCTTACCCTGGACCTAGCCCTAATGCTTACCCTAAGCTATTTACATCTCAGCGACCTTGACAAAAATTGAGCTGTCCTTAACAAATAGATTTAGCCTGTTTTCATGACGCTGCTGGCGGATCCAGAACTAGTAGCATCAAGACTGTTTTCATAAGGTTGGTGTCTGGCGGAACCAGATCTAGCAATACAAAGACTGTTTTCATAACGTTGCTGGCTGGCGGAACAAAACCTAGCAGCATAAAGACTGTTTCCATGACGTTGTTGGCTGGCGGACTGTTTTCGTGATGTTGCTGGCTTGTGGAACCAGCAACATAAGACTGTTTTCATGACGTTGCAAGCTGGCGGAACAAGAACTAGCCAACTAAAGACTATTTGCATAACGTTGCTGGCTGGTGGAAACAGAACTAGCAACACAAAGACTGTTTGCATGACGTTGCTGGTCGACCAGAATTAGCGATATAAAGCTGTTTAATTTTGGGGGGCCAGATTGGCCCAGTAGATGTGGCGCTAACTTCTTAACCAGGGGTTTGATCCACGTCTTGGCCGAAAAGGTTGTGTGTAATTTCCCGACTTAGTTTTCCCATAGTCAGTGTTGCAAGGCAGAAAACTGACAAGGAAACACATCCGGTCATTCGAATCGGACAAAATACCAGTGGTATACTGTGGAAAGTTCCGTAGCTCGGCAATCAGGGCAAAATATCGAGGTCACGTGTGTACCAGTGGTATCCTATGACAGGTTCGGTAGCTCCGCAGTCGTGGAAAGTTCCATAGCTCCGCGTTCAGGGCAAAACGATTCTCATGATTTATACACGTCTTCGATCAGTAGTTTAACCCCATTTCGGGGTTAGCGCGTGTGCGTTGTATTATAAGGTCTGTCGTTGATTTAACTGGCGTGGTTTCGATTCCCTGGATGTACTTGACAAGGAGTAGGGTCGCCTGTCCAACCCCGTGGTTTTCTCCGGGGCCTCCGGTTTTCTCCCGCTGCTGAAGACCCCCTACGCGCATGAGAATTATTGAAATAAATTTGAATCATATCTTGGTCCCGAAATGACCTAGTTTGTTCCGAGTGGACGTTAAACCCAATTTCTCTCTCTTAAACCCCATTTCATATCATTTGTTAGGTTTCAGCTATTGACAAAATCATCAACTATTAAAGCCACCCATGGCTTATCGTGCAAGATTTGCACGTCCCATACTGCGTGAAAAATATGTTAAGCTAATGAAACTATTCACAAACGTCATTCACGTCTTATCTTGCCGGATATGCACACCCCATACTGCGTGAAAAATATGTTAACCTCGAAAAAGACAATCCGAAATGAAATGAAATGGTTTAACGTCCTACTGTTCTGCTCCTAAACTGGGCTAATGAAGACGGGCATACGCCATACAGTGTGCTATGAGGGAAATTTTGCCCGGGCAGCGGCACTACGGCCTACTCTTATATCGAATTTCAACTGCCAAGTGATCTTTTACGTGCTCGCCAATGTGTACACAGGACCTTGGTTTTTCGTCTCATCCGAATGACTAGACAGCTGTCCTTGTCAGGCCCTCCGTCCTGCATCACGCCGGAAAATCTGGATGAACTTTCTCGGTCAATGCAGGGATCGAACACCCGACCTCCAGGCTAGCGAGCCAGCGTCTTACCCACTTAGCCCCCGTGATCCCCTTATTTCTACATAGTTTAGACAAACGATGTATAATGCATTCAGAACAATCAATTTTAAATAAAACATTTTTCTCACCAATCGTTTAATAAAACATTTTGACCAATTAAAGACAGCAGATAATTGCATGTGACATGCAATATTCAACAAAATACTTTACATAATCTTTTAGTGACATTTAGCTGTTGGAATCATTCCAAAGACTAACACAGTTGTATATGGTTTATTTTATACAAGCACAACGTTTCGCGATAAGTATTCTCTTATCTTTAGCAGTGGGAAGAAACTGGAGGACTCGGAGAAAACCCACGAGGTTGGACTGGCGATCCTACTCCTTGTCGCGTATAACAGAGGCATCAAAACCACGCCAGTTGACTCAATGACAGACGTTATGATACAACGCGCACCCACAAACCATTCGGCCATCCAACCCTCACCCCTTTCCAACAATATGGATAATTCTTACAAGTTCTCAAATAACCCATTCGAGTCATGTGACTTATTAACAACTAGATCTCTTAATATGGTTGACCTCTTGCACCACCTGGGAAGTAGCGGTGTGGTATGAGGAACATTATGCCCAGGCAGCGGTATTTTGGCCTACTTTTGTCAAGGGTTCTTCTATGAACATTCACTCCGGTGTGTACGTTGGTTGGGCCTCGGTTTCCTTCTCAGCCTCACGTGCGTTACCCCGGATATGTATCTCGAAAAATCCTAATGCACTTTGCGGCCTACGCCGGAATTCGAACCCTTACAGCTCGCCCCTCCTCCTCGCATGTTACTTCCCTCTCACGAAAGATTAACATCGTAAATTCAATAATTCTAGAACTGTAAAACAATTGATATACTCCAATACTTACAATTTCTTTTATCGATGTTATCCAACCAGTAACTGTCTTCAAGCGATGATAATGAACGTGCAAATGATAAACCTGGAAATAAATAAGAGATATTTTATAACATTAGACTATACTTTATAACTAAATGTTATTATTATATAACTAAATGTTATTATTATATAAATGATAAACCTGGATGTAAATAAGAGATTTTAGTACATTACACAATAATTTATAACTAAATGTTATTATTATATAACTAAATGTTATTATTATAATATAACTAAATATTATTATTATATAACTAAATATTATTATTATATAACCAAATGTTATTATTATATAACTAAATGTTATTTTAGTATATTAGACTATACTTTATAACTAAATGTAAGTATTACATAACTAAGAGTTATTTTAGTATATTATATTTTAATTCATATGTATATATGGCATTATTATATAACTAAGAGTTATTTTAGTATATCAGATTATAGTTCACATGGATATAATATGGTATTAGTATATAACTATTTTAGTATATCAGATTATAATTCATATGTATATCAGATTGTAATCTATGTATATCAGATTATAATTTATGTATATCAGATTATAATTCAAATGTATATCAGATTATAATTTATGTATATCAGATTATAATCTATGTATATCAGATTATAATTCAAATGTATATCAGATTATAATTTATGTATATCAGATTATAATTTATGTATATCAGATTATAATCTATGTATATCAGATTATAATTTTTGTATATCAGATTATAATATATGTATATCAGATTATAATATATGGATTTACATGTATATGTTATTCGTGAGTTATTGTAGTATATCAAATTATAATTTATGGGTGTATATTATATTTTTGAGTTCAAATAATATATCATAGAATTTTGAGTCAATTCGAGTCTAAGTAAGTAGTAGTTCTGGTTATAATAATATTATATATTACACCATGATCAATTGCTCTGGTTATAATATTATATAACACACCATGATCAATTATTGCAGTAACCATGTTCCTATTGTCCCGGGGGTGTGGATGGTCGAATGGTTAGCACGTGCGTGCTGTATCATAAGGCCTGTCATTGAGTTGTACGTGACAAGGAGTAGGGTCGCCTGTCCAACCTCGTGGGTTTTCTCCGGGTCGCCCGGTTTCCTCCCACTGCTAAAGACCCTACGCGCAAGCGAATTATGGAAATAAAATTAAACCATATGTTAGTCCCGAAATGACCTAGTTTGTGTCGAGTGGACGTTAAACCCCATTTCTCTCTCTCTCATATTGTCCCGCTCAGAATATAATTATAGGAGGAATGTGCTTCGTCCGTTCGCCCACCATTTCGTCTAGGATTTGGCATATCTCCTAAACTGTTAAAAATATCTTTATGAGAATTTGTATACATATATATCAACACAGGAAATAAATCAGATTTGCCGGTTTAGAAGTTTCTTAGACTTACAAAGATTTCTTAATGATTCTTTGTACGCACCTGTTACGGCAGTTTTGTCTTTAGCTAATTAGAAATTTCTCAGTTTTAGTGATGTTTGCATTTCTATGGCAACAAGCTGGGTCACTAGGGCACTCTGTTAAATTATTTAATGAATGATGAAGATAAAACATTCTATTTTTAAGAGGATTTAAGCCCCGAATAAAATTTTTGCGAGTAAAAGGTCACATAAAAGTAAACTCCCTGGACGTCCAAATCTTGTAAAAAGTATAGTAATTTCCGTCGATTCACAATCTTCTGTAAATCTCTGTTGAATGATTTTAAAACTTGATAGTATTCAATCTGATTAAAACACAGATCCTATTTCGTTTCGTTTTTTATAGTTCAAAATTTCGTTTTTACATGTCATTACTACACTAGGATCTGGAAGAGTTGTTATCATTGACATGTTCTGAATGGTGTGAGAGATTAGCCAATGAAACGGTCTGTTACGGCGAGCTTTAGGCGTGTTTTTCACGGAAATGTGGGTAATCCACTAGTAACATCAATGCTGTTTGGGTAATTAAATGTCTAACCTACCGCTACAACCGGTCAGATCTTCGTGTAGTGTAGGCCGTCGAAAGTATAAAAATAAGAATAATATTGTTCATCGGATTCCAAGTTTTGCATTTTAAATTAGGTTACAGTGCGAATTACTCGATCGGATTTTTTAAAAGATTTTTCTATAGGACAGGCGCCACGGTAGCTCACGAACCGGGTAGTCTGGGTTCGATCCCGAGATTTCCAGCTTGGTTTCGCACGTGTCAGTGGAGCAGGGCGAAAGGGTCAGGCAAGGAACGACCTTTAATTCGTTTTCACAGACACCCATTATTTCAATTATAGAATTTCGACAAACTTTCATCCTACAATAATTATACAATACTTGACACAGAGAGGTGGCTTTATATTACAGGATTCATGGTTGCTACGGTGGCTAAGTGAGTAAGTTGCTGGCGGTTTCGATCTCGGTGTTGGCCGAGGTGGTTCATCGGGTTTTTCCAACAAAGTTTCTCCTTGTCAGTGATGCAGGATGAAAGGCCTGACCAGGACAGTTGTCTAGTCGTTCGGGTGTTACGAACAACCGAGGTCCCGTATACACATTGGTGTGCACGTAAAAGATCCCTTGGTAGTTGAAATTCGATACAAGAGTAGACTGTATGACGTAAGCCCGTCTTCAATAGCCAAATCGGGGCAGAACAGTAGAACGTTAAACCTCATTTCATTTCATAGGATTCTTGGATTCATGGATTCATTTTAACGTCCTGCATTTTTGCGCCTACCAGGCTAATGCAGACTGGAACGCGTCGTCTCCAACAACTCCAAATCGAATTACAACTGCCAAGGGATTATTTACGTTTGCTCAAAACCTTCAACCAACTAGACGTTGTTCATACACCAGGGGAAACTACATGTAGGTTGAAAAAATCCCGACTGATTCAGCAGCTTAGTCACTGGTCCACCGTGGCTCCAGCTGTATTAGTGCATATCCTTCTACGATGCGTTAAGACAATTAGGGTGGATTTACCCTCCCCTCTTGGGAGCACGATAATGACACTCAACACAAATTACTGATTCATGACATGTATTCCGTGATGTGTCATCCGTCTGTAGCGTGCCATAATCCAAATTAATCACTGGATTACATTTGTTAATGGCGACGACAGATCACGGGGATTACATTTCACTTGTATCTTCCGGACTATGGTAATGAGTGTCTTGTATATTATCACATGCTAATATGTGTTTACATGTTTTCGTATTAACAGCATTGATCTGTTACGAATATGAGCGTGCAGGAGTAAACACGCGAACTGAGAGAGAGAGGGGGAGAAAAATGAAATGAAATGGGGTTTAACGTCCTACTGTTCTGCTCCTATACTGGGCTAATGAAGACGGGCATACGCCATACAGTGTGCTCTGAGGGAAATTTTGCCCGGGCAGCGGCACTATCGTCTACTCTTATATCGAATTCCAACTGCCAGGGGATCTTTTACGTGCATTCCAATATATACACGGGGCCTCGGTTTTTCGTCTCATCCGAAGGACTAGACAGCTGTCCTTGTCAGGCCCTCCGTCCTTCATCACTGACAAGGGGGAACCACGCCGGAAAATCTGGATGAACTTTCTCGGCCAATGCAGGGATCGAACACCCGACCTCCAGGCTAGCGAGCCAGCGTCTTACCCACTTAGCAACGTGATCCCCAGAGAGGGAGAGAGCGTACTGGTGGATCCGTAATAACGTAATGTAGAAATCGAAAGTGAAACAAATGAATGAAATCGATTATTGTTACTGAAGAGAGAAAGAGAGAGGGAGAGAAGAGAGAGAGAGAGGGAGAGAGTGAGAGAGAGAGTTTAACGTCTACTCGACACAAACTAGGTTATTTCGGGATTAACATATGGTTAAATTTTATTTCCATAATTCGCTTGCGCGTAGGGGTCTTAAACAGTGGGAGGAAACCGGAGGGCCAGAAGAAAACCCACGAGGTTGGACAGGCGACCCTACTCCTTGTCACGTACAACCGGGGATTCGAAACCACGCCAGTTGACTCAATGGCAGACTTTATGATACAGCCGCGCACGTGCTAACCATTCAGCCATCCAATCCCACAAAGCAAGAGTAAACAATTAGCAGAAGGGGGAGCCCTTGCATTAACTATTAGTGGGAGCCTAGCTCTCCGCTGTCAAAATCTGACGAAATACCAGACATACAATAATCATGTTTTTGTTTTAAATTTGAAGTGGGAATCATCATGTCTATCTTGCAAAAACAATCTCGATAATGAAAAAAATACCGTCCTTGTCAATCACAATACAAACAAACAATGACGTGGCATTTAAAGGACAATATTGGTGTCAGTCATAATTACATATGTAATAAAACTGGTTAAATACATTCCAAATATGATTTTAACACAGAGATCATTGCTGCGGTAGATGTGTAACAAGCACGTGAAAAAACGGAAAGTGACGCAAAACATGACAAACACGAGTTATCCTTCTATGTTTCTATGTATCTGACTGATGTAACAAGCGATAACAGACAAACGATCGAATTTCATTTCACTGATAATTCCGTTGAAGTTGAAAAGTTATTATATGGGGCGGTGAGAGGGTAACTCACAATTCAAAAATAGAATTGGCTGTCACTAGATAAGGGAAAACGAGAAAAATAGAAAAATCCCGTGCATTCCCCCGTTTTTATTCATTCTGTTCTTAATAAAATCATGGTAATGCACGGACTTTTTCTAATTTGTTCCTTATCTATTATCTAATGACAGCCAATTCTTTTTTTGAATTGTCAGATATCCTCTCACCGTCTCAGATAATAGCTTTTCATCTTCAACTGAATTATCAGTGAAATGAAATTCGATCGCGTGTCTATTATCGCTCGTTGCTTCAATCAGTTATATAGTAGGATAACTCGTGTTTGTCATGTTTGGCGTCACTTCCCGTTTCTTCACGTGCTTGTTACACATCTCCCGTAGCAATGATCTCTGTGTTAAATTTATATTTGGGATGTATTTAACCAGTTCTATCACATATTTTATAATGACTGACACCAATATTCTCCTTTAACGTT